GTCTGTCTGTCTGTCTGTCTGTCTGTCTGTCTGTCTGTCTGTCTGTCTGTCTGTCTGTCTGTCTGTCTGTCTGTCTGTCTATCTGTCTATTCGTCCGTCCGTCCGTCCGTCCGTTTGTATGTATGTATGTATGTATGTATGTATGTATGTATGTATGTATGTATGTATGTATGTATGTCAGTGTATGTATGTATGTATGTATGTATGTATGTATGTATGTATGTATGTATGTATGTATGTCAGTATGTATGTATGTATGTATGTATGTATGTATGTATGTATGTATGTATGTATGTATGTATTTAAGTGTGATTATGTATGCACGTGGATGGGAAAATATACTTCAGACGAACATATAAATATTCCTCGAAATTCACTTCCAAAGAAAAATTTGACAATGAAAAAGTTTTCGAGTAAATATGATTATTTTCGCATTTTTTAATGCTTGAAGTTCGTTATGTGGATTCACTTCACTAAAAATTACCCATTACTAAACAATAATGAAATGGAATGCTCTACTTACTCGCCAAAACTCCTCCAACTTCGTTCAAACAAAAGTCATGTGCCTCTCGATAGGTCATTGGGGCACCGAAATAGAAGAAGCAGTTATAATTGAGAAAAGACCATGTGGGGGGACAGTGCATTCCTGGGCCTAGCACGGAACTGTTATCAGCGTAGGCTTGAGCGTAGTCAACCGACATCAGATAGGCATCATCCTCCCAATCGAATATACGACTCCTTGCAAAACTTTGAATCAATCTGTTACTCAACTGTTCCGCGGCCAGATCTTGCGCTGAACGGCGGTTCTTTGAAATTGCCTGTTGTTGATGTTGCTGCTGCAGCTGCACGTTTGTGTACGTATCACCCCACCAGTTGCGTTGTGCGTCTACTGGGTCGGGACGATAGCAGAAGCAGGCATCAAAATCCAGTCTCAGTGTCCATCCATGAGGACAAGTATCGTCCGGCTGAGGACAACGTGTACCAGGTTGAATTGGCAGACGTCTGAATACAGGACGGGAGTGAATGATTGCTTTTTCATACTATACGGGCATAATCGTTTATAGTTTCCGAAAACAATATTTGTTCATGTGCATTGTGCTTCACCCACAAATGGCCTTAATACCATTATTTAACTATGTGCACGGCAGCACATGAAATTCATATGCACGTTTCATTAAAACTGTCAGTGGAAAAGTTTCAGAGAAAGGTGGCTATCACAAGCTTCGCCACCGAACCAATTTGCCAAACTTATCACAATTTCCGACGTTCTTGAACTGTTAAGTTTGGGGCAACTGTAATGAATGAATGAGTCAAAAGCAAGCATTTAAATAACAAAACGTATTTTTTAAAATTATACTTCATTTGTTGAATGGAAAATTATAAAGTTTTCAGGAAAGACTACTGTACAACACGGAATGGGGAAAGTCAGACAGTGGTGGTGAGATTTGAACATACGTTTCCCGAAACGATAATCTGATGACTTTCCTCGCTCGACTGCTGACATCGGTAATATAGAGCACAAAGTGAGCACGTGAAGAGGATTCTCAGAATTTATTGATCAAATATTCAATTGTACATTCTCAACTTGTCAAATAGCTTCTACCGTTCTTTCAACTGTTTTTCGTCTCCCTGACATCCAGTGTAACTCTGCACTGAATGATTCCACCACTGCTCATCATGACCAACTTCTTGCATTGTCATATTGATTTATACGTAAACTCAATCAGTCCTTGCTGGTCTAGGCAGCTACACTGAGTTGATACCAGTACATGTATCAATTGATAGTCTAATACAGAATCTTCCATGCACACACATGATGCTGTGTGATGCTTCCTTCATCAATCCATCCGTTGTCTATTGCTTTCCCTTGCATAACCTACAAAGTGATGCATATATCCACAAGCGGATACATTTTTGATTAACGCTCTCATTCACCACGTTATGACATATGTTCCATCCATAGTATATCAGATTGATACATGCGTCTGTTGGTTCTCCTCTCTTGCGATAGACTTCATCCATTTGTCATTTTACGTTTGACCCTTATCATGCCATAGATTGTCGTTCTCTCTCTGTAGGTCTGTACCCAAACAATTGATCTCGAACTGTGCCCCATAGATTGAACGACGAGTTGATCGATTGTTGCTTTTTGCACACTGATTGGAGCTGTAGACTTGTCTAATCCTTTGTTAGCTGAGAATTTCCTTGTGGGCAGTATATTAATGACTGATAAACCCTTGTGAGAACACCACCAATCTGGGGAAATAAACATTTATTTTCTCTCTTGTATTTCCTTATTATAGTACCGTTTTGATGAATCACAGTTTTATTGAACTTGCACTTTAAGACCTGAGTATAAAGTTAAGTGAGCTCGGTCACCAGGCCTATTTGAAGCACATTTCGAACTTTACCACAGTGTCAAGTAATGTGCTGTCTTGTGCATGTTTGTGACCCAACGAACTACACACGATGGCTTTTCTCTCACCAACAGATCTTATCATACCGGAAAGGTCAGGGAGGTAGAGGTTAGAAAAGGTCCAATCTCCTGGTCCTCCAGGGTGGGGCCTCGGCTCCAGTTGATGAAATGACCCAGGAGTAATCGATGTGAGTAGATTGGTCTTCACTTCGCCTTACCCGCTGCCTTGCGGTTAGGTTCTTGTTAGGAGAAAGACTTTGGATGAGAATCCTTACCGTTCTCCTGCCTAATGGCTGAACACCCTAGCAGTACCCGTCCATCAAACTGCAATGCATGTAAAAACTAACCAATTCCATACTGCATTGGTCGCCGTAAAAGATAGGATAGCGCCGCCCATTGTACTGACCGGAGTGGGAAGCGGTAAATGGGCTATGGTCGGGTCTCCAAATCTTTTTTTAATTCTTTATCTTTTATACGCAACCCTCTTCCTTTGTCCCTTCTTCTGACCCGTAATGTTCTCTGAGAACGTTTTGTCACTCCCTCAAGATGGTTGTTGCAAAAAAATATCAGGTTCTTAGGCGTTGTCACACTTTGAATGAGGAGGACTTCAACTGGGAGACTCTAATTCAGGTCGGTCAACAAGCTCGTCTGGCGCATGAAATGGACTCATTGAGAGTTGGTGTTTGCTGGGAATCGCTGATGTGATTTTACATTCCTGTTAGTGTTAATGCGCTGGGTTTGGTCTTGAGATATTTTCTCCGCACATCAGGCGATGACGAAGACGTTTCATTTAACCAGAGAGGGGTAGGTATTTTACTAAGTGATAAAATCATTTATTGATGGGTCCCAATCGACAATCGTTTGTGTGCGTTGCGGTCTCAGGGGTCAGTCAGCGTTCAAAAGTAAAGCAACATCACAAAACAACTGGTCAGTAAGTGCACCGACCAACTGTATTCTCGATGTATAAAGGATCGAGTTCTGCAACAAACTGATTTAATTCGTTAGACCGGATCAGAGTTCCAGTATGATTGTGCCGACAGGTGATCTCAACTCGCATATTGGAAAACTGAGGGCACCGGGAATCTATCAAACAGACAATGGCGATCAGCTTCTTCAGCTCTGCGAAGATTACTGGCTATCCGTAGTCAGTAACAACTTCTGAAAGCTCTCTCCCTCAAGGCACAGCAACGTGACACTCCAATAAAGGGAGCAAACTGGTTAGAATTCACCGCATATCAGTAAGCATCCGTTGGTGTGGCTCAGCATAAATTACAGACCCGATTAGATTACATGCATGGTGTCTGATCCCACCTCAGTTTTGATACATCTCGACCTTAGCTGAAAAAATCAGTAAAATCGGTTTTCCCGTCATCTTTCATCTGACCACTATGAGGTAGAGCTAATTCATGAGCCAAGAACTCTGGGATATGGCGGTATAGATGAACATTGTAATCAGATTAGAGGTGTAGTGCATTCTGAAGCGAGCGTCGTTTGTTGATCCGAGCTGGAAGCCCATCTGAGGCATTGGCTGTCTCACGAATGATTAACCCTGATGAAGTATAAGCGACAAATTCCGACCGGCCAGGATGGAACAAGGAGTAGGTAGGGTCTGCATGGTTAACTGATGAAGAACCAGAGGAAGAAAACTGACGGGGTAAAATAGCCATTGAAACGGAAGTAGTCACTGAATTAGGGACTGGTCTAAGACTGATCTAACTTATGTGCGATATCAGAGCTAGGTGGGTTCCGGAAAGTGATATAATATGTGAGCTATTCAGAAAAAAGAAGTGGCCTAATCATCGGATGGAGCATTTCAAGCAATAGTTCAGCTGGCCTGGAGCTAATAATATAACCTTATCGTCGATGCTGTAGCTCCACGGGCGGCGTCACGTGATCCTCTTACAGAAACAGAAATACGGCCATGCATTCGAGTCTTGAGGAGAAATTAAGTAACGGGAGGGGATTATAACCTAGTGTAGTCTTTTATTGACTTACAGTAAACCATTTGTTAGTGGGAGCACTTTCCATCATCTTTGGGAAATCAACTAAAAGACCTTGCAACGATAGCGTAAGTCACCGTGAGATAGTTTTGATCCTGGTTAACATCAAAGTATAAGCCTTTAACAAAGACCGATATCCGTGGGTTATAGGCAAGATTCCAACATTTTTGAGGGTGTTTGATTAAACATTTACCTTGCGAAAAACACTGGAGTTGGCTTACACACCTTCTGCAAGTGATAGCAGTATTCCTTGACCTAAAGGATGTTTTTGACTCGGTCGACCTTAAGGCTGTCTTCGGTTTCCTTCTTCGAAAAGTTATTCCCTAGAAATATGCTAAATTGCCGAGGTCACTGTATTCACACAACTCTGACCTACAGCGAACTAATTACCTCATTCTTCACCAGCAGCGGAGTTTATCATGATCTTTTGTCACAACAGAAATATTAGAGAACATTTTAAGTGGCCTCTAAAGTTTCGGCATTTAATGGGCAGCTGAATGCGACCTAAAGTACGTTGGTGGCATCATTTACCTGTTCAAATGTATGGAGGATGTGCAAGTACACTTTAAGGACTAAAACTTTCTGTTTCTCCATTCGGTATGTGTTTTGCGTCTTCACATTACAACATCATACTACAAGACTGGGTGTCTACTGGTTCCGTTTGAAAACAGGTGGTCAGGAATTGACTGAAGCTGATAGTTTCTCCTACTGAGGCAGTTGTATGACAAATAAGGCTGGTTCAGTAAAGAAGATAATTGCATATATTTTTAAGGCAAAAGCAGAGAAGGCGGGACGGGAACTTGTTACTAAAGTTGAAAGGTGGTGTATTTTGTGCTACCGTTTGTTCAGTTCTACCTCGTGGTTGCGAGACCTTGAACTGGCGAGCAGAAGACATTCACCGACTAGCAGATTTCGACTGTCAATGCTTACGTAGTCTAACAAAGGAGGAATGCAGTGAGTGGGTTATTAACCTTGAGGTAAGTCACTGTGTGTTTAGGAATGTTTCGGTTGAAAATTTGTTATTACATCGAGCACGAACTGGTAGGTTTCGCTTCTTACGACACGGTCGCCTACAGCACCGCCCCTTGTTCACAGTTACGGCTCAGGGTGAAAGAAAACCACTTGGAGGTCAACAGATGACTTGGAGACAAGGCGTGAAGAAATGCACCGAGCTATTGGGTAGAGTAGGTGTCTCCTAGCTTCCAGATCGGGATCCAAAATAACATGCAGCTTGTTGGCTGGAAACATTGAAGAATGTGGCAACTAACTGACAACAGTAGCGTTCTCGTTATCACTTCATATGGATACAGTATGTTTAAAAAAGTGTGTATACACATGTAGACGGTGCTTTATGTAATTTAACCATAAGGGTTCGGCATCCTTTTCTTTACTCAAAGCAGATTCACTCTCCATCCACCTTACGCATACTTTATGTATATTGAGTTTAGTAGCAAACAGTAAAGGTCGAATGGTTGCACTTTACTATACACTGGTGACGTAGGTTGTGATCAAGGTGTTCATCAGGGCCTACCAGTTTATCTTCTATACATATGGGATGTACCGTCAACGCTTTCTCATCATAAGTCTAGTTTCATGTCTATCCATTTTTGTGCTGTTTAAGCAACCGCTAGATGTGAGATTAGCATTTTACTATACTTTGTAATGTTTGATGTGTCTACTCATGAGTAATCCAAAACGAAGTTGAAATTACCCAGGATAGGGTTTTACGTCCCCCTGGAAGGAGTCTAAATTCGATCTCCATGGTACCGAGAAAAACACCAGCCATTAGTCAGTTCAACCAAAGATAAAAGTATTAAAGTTCCTCTTAAGGGAAATTCCCATTCTAGATTTAAATCATTTTCATTTTGAATCATATTCAAAGCAGACCCAAGGTCTGATTGGATGCCACATCATCATCATCATTGTACAGCGTAATACAGTGAAGCGAACTTCATTGATCGCTGCCAAACTCATATTGCATACAAGGTAAGTGATAATGTGTAAGGAAGACAGGGATTAGACCTATTCCTAGAGACGAGAAAAGGAAGTGAACCTCTATAATCAACACACAGAGAAAACAGTCCCGCTGTGCATACATACTATTTCAAGCATTCTGTCCTGATAAGAAGTGACAGCATGATCGCCATTGTTGTCGGTTCGCAGCCATGACCTTCGATGTCTCCAACCATGCGGTTACGGAGTCTTTTGGACCACAACCCGGAACACGAGAGACACCTACTCTACCTAATCGCTCTGTGCATTTGTTCATGCCTCGTCTCCACGTCATCTGCTGGCATCCACGTGGCTATCTCCAGCCTGCAACAGCTCCTGTGAATAAGGTGCGTTACGGTAGGTGACCTTTGGACCCACACAACACGTGTCCTAACCGACAAAGCTTATTGAGCTGGATTGGATGCGATAGCAAGTTCTTGTTTGAAGTATTCCCCAACACACGACGACTTACTTCTAAGTTGCTAACCCGCTCACTCCATCCCACTTGGGCCAGACTACGTGAGCATCGATTGTCGAACACTGTTACACGACGAATGTCTTCTACCCCCAAATTCAAGGTCTCAGAACCGTAAAGCAGAACGGATCGTACAGTGGCGCAGTATACGCGACTTTTCAACTTCAGTGACACGTCACGTCGCCGCCACAGGTGTTTAAATCCTGCGTATGGTGCTCGAGCCTTGGAAACGCGGACGGTTATCTCCTTTGATGCGCTACCGTCGTTGGTCACACAGCTACCCAAGTACGAGAAGCAGCCAACTTCAGCCAATTCCTGGCCATCTAGTTTCAGAACGGAACTCGGCGACACCCAGTCTTGTAGCATCAATTTGCACTGTGAAGGTGCAAAGCACATGCCGAACGGAGCTACAGAACTTGTTAATCTGTCGAGTGCTCTTTGTGCATCCTCCATACATTCGAACAGGCAAAAGATGTCGTCAGCGTACTCCGAATCACACATGTTTTCTCCAGCTGCCCATTCAATACCTACGTTTTGAAGACCGCTTAGTGCGTTCTCCAGTACTTCGTCTATGACGAAATTGAACAGGAATGGCGAAAGAGGGCACTCTTGACGAACACCGCTACTAGTTACGAACGACCTATTCAGCCCGCCGTAGACCCTTACGCTACCAGAAGTATGCGAGTAGAGTGAATTCAGTATATTCACATACTTTACGGTATTTCTTTGCGAAGGAGTGAACCCATAAGGGAATTGCGATCAACTAAATCGAAGGCTCCTCTTAGGTTAAGGAACACAACAACCGTAGGTCGAGGACTTGACGCAGAGTGAGGATTTGATCAACACAACCGCGGCCTGGTAGAAATCCTGCTTGTTGTTCGCGGATGTTTGTCTCCCTTAAAGGTGTCAGACGTCGAGATATGATGGAGGCTAGTAACTTCGTGACATTTGGGATCAAACTTATTCCACGGTGGTTTGCGCAGTCGTTGCGAGACCCCTTCTTAAAAATGGGGACAATCACTGATTCGCTCCAGGATGATGGAATGTGCTCATGTGACCAGATGTTATGCATTAAATCAGTAATAGAGTCTACAAGGTCATCGCCTCCCAACTTGAAAATTGTGGGGGGAAGTCCATCCTTTCTTCAGGGCTTGGATGCATGATCGGACTTCTGCTGCAGTAGGATGTTCAGATGACACTTCCCATGGAGCCACAACTACAACAGACGATATAATCTGGTTGGTACCTAGTCAGTTAAACCGATTAAGTCGTTATTCCCTATTGCCCACTTTTGTCGCCGATTGTTTCACTAATTGTGGTTCACCGACCTCCCGTATTGCATATCAATTGGAACAGTCTTTGACTGTTGCCTGATGCAGCTACAACTACCACTTCACTAGCTATCGTTGCCCACCAGTTCTCATGGTCTTTCCTGAGGCTCCTCGTGAGTTGACGTTGATCCCGGGTGGTTGGGATTTGCCGCTTTTTCTCCATCAGTGCTACTCACTCATCAGATATCCAATGCTTCGGGTGGGCTATTGCTTCAGATCATCAAGCAACTCTCGCTGTGGAGTGCATTGCTGGGCTAATCTGATCCCATTATTTATTTATACTACCACCCCTCAGTGCGTTCAGCTCTTGCCTTAGTTCTGATTTAAAACGGACACGAACGGTTGGGTTAGATAAGCGGTGATCTGCCAATCGAGTTTGGTGGGATTTTCTGCTACCAGTGAGTTGGAGAGTGAACTGCATCAAAACTAACGCAAGATCAGATTCCACGCAGGTGGTCCAACAGAACCTGCAGTTTTGTACGGAGCCACGCCAACGGTAGCTTACTGCTATGTGGTCGATCTGAGTTAGCGTGCCATTTGAATTTGAGCTCCACGTTGCTGTCCGTTGAGAGCTGTGTCGGAAGTTGGTGTTGGATAGGAACAGATGATGATCGGTGCAGAACCGAAGAAGTCGATCACCATTAACTGTTCGCTGGCAGGGCAGAGCACAATGATCGCCTAGTCAAGCTTCCCATGCGCTCAGTTTTCCAACTTGAGCGTTGAAATCACCTGAGAGAACAACTATATCGGAGCTTCGGCTCAACCGAATGAGGTTGGTGAGTTTGTCATAAAACTCGTCCCTTTGTGCGTCAGAACTGCAGTTGGTCGGTGCATACGCTGAAATGACGAATAAACACCTTTTGATATTGCTTCTCTTCCGGAGGCTGATAGACCCTTGGGGCCGCATCGCACAAAAGCGACTGTTGACAGGGATCCAATCGAGTAATGCGGCTTTGGCTATATTATTCGGTACAATGCTCACACCAGGCTGGCCTATTGAACGGGCTTCGTTATCACCTGACGTGCGGAGAAAGAACATCGAAGACGCCCCCGATGCACTTGAGTGGTTTATAGTACTAGAATCCTGGATTCGAGTCTCCGACAT